TAGGGGTCAAGGGCCAGTTAATCAGCAGAAGACCGTTTCAAAACGAACCGATATTATGAAAGATACAGTACCCAAGAATATCACTATATACGAAACGAACAGAAAGTCATGTTCCAGAGATCTCTTTTTGTCCTGACCCTGTGAGGCATTCCAAGAGTAGAGAAGAGAAGAAGAAGTTAGGGAACAGTTGGTGATGTTTGTTATGTTTGTTCACACTGGGGTTCCGGGACCCAGGCGGGTAATAGAATGGGTGCTTTAACTTTCTTGGATGACATCACTGGCTTCCCTGAGTTTGAACACCTGGTCAGAAACTGTTACAAACGACTACCCAAAGAGCCAGTTATCTGAATATTCCCAGCTACCTGGCCGCCTAGACCTGACAGCCTAGTTCCTTTAAATCACCGCCTCAACGGTGGTTCGAACACATAATCAAAGCGCCGACAGGCGAGTGGGCTAGCCACTGCGCTACCACGACTTCCACATATAGTCCAGGATCAAATATAATATATACGGACTAGAATACAGACATTAGTTCTAGACAACATATCTGTGGAAGTGGAGAATGGGGAAGTACAGCATAGAAGGAAGCGAAAACACGGCGGAGGGAACTTGTTGGCGGTCGTACAGGAAATGCACAGAGAGTGTAGGTGGTGGGAGGAAGAGGAAAGCAGAATATGGAAGACGATAACGAAGAAGAGGAAGGAGGGAGAAGAAACAGAAACAGCTGTGTTGATAATGGTGGTGGTGGTGGTGGTAGTAAGCTGTGAAACCCACACAGGACACCGCCTAACATATCAGATAAGAAACTCAGAACACCCCTTTCCCGCCATCAATTGGTTTTAGCCTCATATCCTTTAACAACCAACAGGCAGGAGATGGCCCACACAATCAAAATCACAACGGCCGCCTTTAGCTCCTAGGAAATTTCCTGATATTTATTACTGGTCCCAAGTATTGCTTTCAGTCCCAAGGAACGCGTCAAACGTTCATAGATTTCTACCCAAAAGCCCAATGAACGCAAGATGCGCCGATGCTACGTCTCTCTTCACTACACCACGGGGCTCTGATCCTAAACCCCCTGGGACTCAAAGAGATGATCAACAAGGCCAATGTAAAACGTTCTCCCCTTCAAGAGAATCAACAAATGGCAGCCAGACCTACAGGCCAGCATCCTAACCACTCGGCCACCTCAGCTCCCTCAATAATCAGTATGTTTTCCTAAATCGATTTTCTGCGCACGGCGTGGGTAGACTGGACGAAACAAAACATATTGTCACTACAGGGATTGCCTGGAAAAAAAATAGACGTTGTGGTTGGAGAGTACAGGTGGCGTGTCACTCTCTCAGACCTAATATACAACCCAAATCAGCAAATGCTAATCAATCAATCACTTACCAACACACAAAAACTACCGTTACTGCGGCACAGGCAGGGGTCTTACAGCCTGAGGATTTAGGGCCGCACAACCAGTGCTGTCACCACGGAGTGTGCAGGTTAGCATTTTATTTTTGCCTCCGAAAGAACCAAACCCCAAATCTTACTGAAGATTCGAACCGGTGTCCCCCGCTTGATAGCCCAACGTTCTAAACGTTCGACCAGCCGTTTCACACTCGCTCAGTGACCTATACCAACTGTCAGTTATCTCACCTACTGTATCGACTTCAAACTACGGTGATTTAGATCGCCTTCAATAGACCGACTACCCCATAAAAGGTGAGTCAAAGACAAGTAGTTAGGGTAGTTAGTCGGGTAGTTAGTTGTAAGTCGGAGTGCACCTGCCTGAGAGACGAGAAACCAACAGTCTGCATACAATAAAGTCAGGTCTGTAAAACGAATGTGCACGCAAACCGCAAGACCTCAACCAATGCCAAAGTCTAGAAGTGGATGAACAGCCAGAGCTTTCCGCTGGAGCTTACAGCCGCTGAACGCTAAGGAGAAGAGAAGAGGATTGACAGGGGTGCACATGTGAACACTCTTTTAGTTGACACGGGCATTATGAAAGAATGTTGCCATGCACACTGAAACTAAAATATTTGTCACGTGGGTGACAAAGAAATCCACTCTAAACATCTACAAGTCGTAGGGATTATATACAGCTCTGTCCGATACGTCTGTTAGAGATCTACTTGTGTGTTTTAGAGTTTTAGATGGCAAAAGCTAGAGTTCTGCTGGAAATAAGTCACTAAGAGTTATACCAAAGACAGTGGTTTGCAAGCGCTTAAAGATGTCTGCTGTAACTGAGTCACTGACTCCACTCCCCCGGACAAGTAGAGTTAGCGAAGCTAGGAATGGTTCCTTTATGCCCGCTGTAACTGAGTCACTGACTCCACTCACCCGGACAAGTAGAGTTAGGGAAGCTAGGAATGGTTTCTTTATGCCCGCTGTAACTGAGTCACTGACTCCACTCACCCGGACAAGTAGAGTTAGGGAAGCTAGGAATTGTTTGTTTATGATGGCTGTAACTGAGTCACTGACTCAACTCTCACGGACAAGTAGAGTTAAGGGGTTTAGGACTGGTTTGTTTATGCTGGCGGTAACTGAGTCATTAACTCAACTCTCACGGACAAGTAGAGTTAAGGGGTTTAGGACTGGTTTGTTTATGCTGGCGGTAACTGAGTCATTAACTCAACTCTCACGGACAAGTAGAGTTAGGGGTTTAGGACTGGTTTCTTCATGCCCGCTGTAACTGAGTCACTGACTCCATTCTCCGAGACAAAAAGAGTTAAGGAAGTTAGGAATGGTTTCTTTATGCCCGCTGTAACTGAGTCATTGACTCCATTCTCCGAGACAAAAAAGAGTTAAGGAAGCTAGGAATGGTTTCTTTATGCCTGCTGTAACTGAGTCATTGACTCCATTCTCTGGGACAAGTAGAGTGAAGGAGTCTAGGAATGGTTTCTGTATGCCCGCTGTAACTGAGTCACTGACTCCTCGCTCCGGGACAAGTAGAGTTAAGGAAGTTAGGAATGGTTTCTTTGTGCCCGCTGTAACTGAGACATTGACTCCTCTCTCCGGGACAAGTAGAGTTAAGGAAGTTATGAATGGTTTCTTTGTGCCCGCTGTAACTGAGTCATTGACTCCACTCTCTGGGACAAGTAGAGTGAAGGAGTCTAGGAATGGTTTCTGTATGCCCGCTGTAACTGAGTCACTGACTCCTCGCTCCGGGACAAGTAGAGTTAAGGAAGTTAGGAATGGTTTCTTTGTGCCCGCTGTAACTGAGACATTGACTCCTCTCTCCGGTACAAGAAGAGTTAAGGAAGTTAGGCATAGTTTCTTTATGCCCGCTGTAACAGAAACACGTATGGAGATGTGTGTGCCATAGAACCTGGGTATAATCGATAAGAAAGGTCACAGAGAGAATGGTAATCTAATTTCTTTCTATTCCGCAGATATCTTTCAAGCTGGACCGGCCCAGTGTGGACACACCGCCACTGCTGCAATCGTAAAGGGGCAGGATGTCATGTGGAATATTGCAATAATAATGTGTTGTGATGCAATGTGCAAATGGTGCAGTTATAAAGAGATGAGATGCAGTGTGGAAGTGTTGCAATCATAAAATGGCGGGATTCAATGTGCAAATGTTGCAATGACAAAATAATGTATCGCGATGTGAACTGTTGCAATTATAAGGTTACGTTTGCGTTGTGGAAATGTGACGATCACTGATTGATGTGATGCAATTTGGAAAAGTAAAGCCGCGTGGAAATGTTGCAGTCATATAGTGGTGCGATGCAATGTGAAAATAAGGGGGATAGCGTGGTCAGTGTGAGAATATTCTAACTATAGAAATTATACAGCGACTCGGTACGAATAAGCCGCCAATGCATTATAACAGCACAAAGAAAGACATATTCATAGACAAAGCAGACTTGAATTCAACTCCAACGTAGTAGTCATACAATGACCAATAGTCGCGTAACCATAAAGTGACCGCGTGTGAGCACACAGCCGTAAACCTGTAATTACAAAGTGACCACATGTGAACAAAAGCAACAACAACAAAAAACTAATTATAAAGTGAGCAAATGTATACATACGGCGCTAAAGATGTAATGATAAACGGACCCCAAGTGAACACGCAACTATAAAGCTGTAATTATAAACCGACCTCGTGTGAATATGCGGTGAAGACATTGTAATTATAAAGTGTCCCGATGTGAACATACAGAGACAGAGCTGTAATTATAAACTATATACTAGCGACGGTGTGTACTCAGAATAGACAAATGTATTACCATATCTGAGAGAAGGTTTGACAACAGAAAAATGAGAGACAACTCCCAAATGTTTTTCTGCATACCCCGTGACGGGTTGGTGGGAACATGGCGTGTGGTGCTTGATGCGACGTGAGTGTGTGGTGAAAACATGGCGCGTGGTGCTACATGCGACGTGACGGTTTGATGGTAACGTGGCGGGTAGTGCTTCGTGTGGAGCGGTAGATTGATGGGAAAGTGGCATTTGGTGTTGATGCGACATGACACGCTGACTGGAACGTGAGGTGTGGTGTCTCATGCGGCGTGGCAAGTTGATGGCAACATGGCCTTTGGTGTTTTATGTGGCGTGTGGTGACGTGATAGGTTGACAGGAACGTGGCCTTTAGTGCTTCACACGACGTGGCATGTTTGCTGGAGCGGGGTGTGTTGTGCTTCGTGTGACGTGACATGTTGACAGAAAAGTGGTTCTTTGTCTGACGTGATCCGTTGACTGAAAAGTGGCGTGTAGTAATTGGTGCGACGACATCAAGTGCAGATGGATTCAGATGTGTCCCATACTTCCACTGCGGCTCTGATGCCGGCGGGATCATGGGCGTGAAGAAGCGGTGGTATGTGTGTGGTAAAAGTGGCCGTGCTTGTCCAGTCTCTGCTGTAGAAATCAGTTTAGAGAGAAGTAGAGCGACAGATGCATGCTGGATTAGCTGGTGGTCGTGTGCTCACTGAGTTGTGTCGCCAGGAAAGGAGTAGACGACACGTGCTGGGAGGATCAGGCCGTGGTTGGGAAGGAGAATGGCGCAGCGTACGCCAAGCGCCGACACGCGAGGCGGGAGGAGGAAGCGAAGGAAAAAATACAAACCTGCACCTCCCTCGGGCTTCCTCACTAGCGGGCGGTTACATGGACGTCTTCCAAAACCAGGATTATACCCTGCCAGTGAGGATTCTGGGATAATCCCTGGATTATTTATCGTCAAATGGTTGGATACTTCCAGTGAATCGGTAAGTAGTTGTGATTATGTGTGTGAGATCCATGCCGGAGGTGCATGTAGTCGTATACGACACTCACACTGCGAGTCACCCACTTACAACGCTACACATTCCATTACATCGCCAGACGACAAACCAAATGTCCGATGTGGTCCTCCTAAATGGTCAGCTCCTGTTGCTAAAGCAAGAATCGTCATCAGGCGAGAGTCAGTCTCGCTGCTGACTATATGGCTGGCTCTACACGGGTTTCTGTCCAGTACCAACACAAACTTCGCAGTCCAGGCCACTGTTTTACGTCCACAACAACAATCATTCACCTCCTCACTACCACAACGAAGATATTCACTCCTGCCTGTTTCCACCATCAACGAGAGCGTCTTCATCTTCTTCAACCCGCCAGCAATTCCACGTCTCAAAATTAATACACTTCAAATCGTGTCCTTCAACTTTACAGTCTACACACGGAAAGCCCCCGTCGGCGTCATCATCAGCAACAACCGCGACAACAAACATAAATATAACAACACGATAACCAACACGACTGTCAGAGACCCGTCAAACAAAAAGGTTAAAATAGCGTCTCTGGGCCATCCATATGCCATCGCATCTACTTCTATCAATCCAACAACCAAACCGAACAAGAGTAATCGCGCCGAGTTGAATCTCCCATTCAGCTCAACCCCATCGACACAGTCTACTAGCTGGAACTCAACCAACTCAACCCCTAAGAGCAACATCTCGAACAACTTAGCCAAAAATAACCAACACAAGAGTCGCACATACTGGGTGATGGTCTACTCCGAAGATGAGTCCGTTGCGCGCCCTGTCATCACCTCCTCTAACAGACTGGCGAGATTCTATGCAGACTCACAGGGCAGCTATATTCTGATGGCCGTGTGGCCAGGGCGACAGTACAGCTTCTCGGTGGAGGCCAGACATATTGGCAGGGTCACCATGTCCGTTGCTGTGGTAGACACTGATGGTGACAAACGGATGTCTCAGGTATGTTCCAACAGTTTTACTTTGTGCTTGTTACTACAAGACCTGTCACTGTCAGCGCCACCGTGGTCAAGCGGCTAGACGCTCTACTGCTGATCTGAAGAGTAGGGGAGCCGAACCTTTTCCCAACAATGACCATGGCTCTTAAATCGACCCCGCCTTAAACGGGTACCAGGCAAGGTCAATGAAGTAAAGGCGACGGGTGTCATGTTGACCACATCATCCGCTACGTGCTAACTGGTCTATGAAATATAGGTCTAGCCCTATATGCCTAAAGGCATAATAAAGGGCCCTTTGATTTTGTTTTACCTCTTGGCGTCTGTAACTTTAGAGATTTTGCACTTAGTTTCACCATCCCGAAATACAATGGAAGTCGTGCAGTTTGGTAGAGTATATTTTCTGTTGATATGGACAAAGTAATTTATCTGTTGTTTGTCCATCATGAGTGATGAAGACTGCTTTTCATCCAGAGTAGCAATGATTATGAGTACGAAGGTGGCTGATTAGTAACTGGATAAAAGTGACTTGCACAAGGACTCGGATTTAAGTGAGGAAGAGATGACCAATTCGTCGACCTCACTCTCTCGTTTGTGTCCATCTTTTCCCAATGTTAGGACAAAGGTTTAACCACCACAGGGTTCAGTGGGAAATTAACTAACGTTCATTTTGTCTGTTTATTTCAAGATCATGATGAATGCACTTAAACGTGCCTAGTAAAACCGTTGCAAACGCGCTTCGTAATGCCTAGGTGCCGGGTTTGATCCCAGCAGCGGACGATTTGTCTTGCGCTGGTTTCGACAGTGGTGCCTAGATCTGACCGTTCAGGGACGATGGCAAACTACTAAACGAAAAATTTGCCTAGAAAAACCACAACAGCCCAAAAAAATGCTGGGGTGGGTTCTGCGACGACCTGTAAAGGATTAGCAACTAACTTTTAGTAAAACCATAAACTGCCACCCAAATTTAAAAAAAAAACTACTAGTACCGCCAGTATGTGCAGCTTTTTGCGGTCAAGGCAGCGGGTTGAACCTGAGGATTTGGAGTCAATTGGTTAGTGCTGTCGCCACGGACTGTGCAGGTAAAGATTTTATTTTTGCCCCCGAGAGAAGAATAAAAATCGCAACCTTACCGAGAATTCGAAACTGCGTTCTCAACCCTTCTTAAGCATCCAATAAATGCAGAGGTGGGTTTGGGACACACTGAAAAAGACATGTAATTGAACAATCCGGGATTCTCGGCTAAATGTTACTACTGATTCAGTGTAGCAATCGAAACTTCCTGAAAACATGCAGTGTCCAGGATTTACTGCAGGAAGGTTTGATCAACATGTAATCAACTGCGGAGCCATGTTCCAATCAGACACAATCCTCTCCACATTATTTCGTCCGTGTCACGTGCCCTAAATGGTCCCACTTTTTCCTGGCTGGCTGATTTTTGTTGCTAGTGAAGTACGGGATGAGGTAACAAACACCAAACCTTAACCGAATGGCCTCTTATGACAAGCTTGGCAGTGTGCCCTAGTGTTAATAATCGTTGCTTCCATAAAGGGCATTCTATAACTAGAATATGCCTGCACTGGAACCAACATGGTTGCAGAATAAAGGCAAACCAAAAAAAAATCTCCACAAGGAGGCAATTAGAGACAGAAATGAATGAGAGGGAGAGGACATACGGTGAGTAGGAGAGATGACAGTAGAATATTGAACGACCAGTCGTTAGCCGCTTAACAATCTGTGCTTGGTTGGGAAGGGAGGAAGAGATAGAGAGATAGTGTGAGGGGTCGGGAGAGGTAGAAGAGGAAGAAATAAGAAACTGATCGATTATTTTTCAGGACTCGAACTGCTTCTACTCTACTACACCACCAAGAAATAAATTTTTCTTATTCTTCTGCCCTGTATCCCCCAGTGGAGCATAGGCCCTTACCCAACTCCCCCTTTCCTTTGCTACGGAATGCACATATCGTCTTTACAGCGAAAAGATAATCTGGTCACGTTATACGTCAGGATAGAAAAATCAACTGAAATTTGTTAGTCTCTTCCAAAGCTCCACATTACTGACTCTACCATATCTTTTAATCCCCGCTATTCTGCACAGGCACCAGGTAACGAATGTCTGTGGTTTATAAGTAATCGGTTTAGCTGTACTTCGTGTTTCCGCTCCATAAAGCAGTACTGATCTGTCAGTAGAATTGCACATTAAGTCTAGCATAAGTTTCTATTTCCTTTGACATTCACAAATGTCCTAGTGCGATGAAAACACCTCGCACAAATTGTACGGCTCCACATCCTGGAGTAATTAGTAAACAGAGGCAAAAAATACTTCATGGCTTCTACTTTAATTCATCTGGCATAAGACAACGTCGTTTTACTGAGAATCTACCTCATCATCATCATCAAGTGCCTTGCCGACAGGCGTGGGCGATCATGCCTCTCCATAATCCACGATCTCCTGCAGCATGTATCAGTTCGTGTGCCGACTCACCTCCATGCCATGCAACAAGACAGTCAAGAATATTCTCTCGTTGTCTTCCTCTATCCCTCCTTCCACAGATCTTTCTATTGGTCACCACATGTTCCATTTTCGCTCTTCTCATAACATGGCCGAAAAATGATAACTGTCTCCTTCTGATGTTTGTGATAAGTTGACTTCGGGCTCCCGCCTCTTTCAAAACCTCCTGGTTGCTTTTTTGGTTGTCCAAGGTATTCTAAGCATTCTTCTGTAAAACCACATTTCTGAGGCCTCAAGAAATTGTTTGGCCTACAAATTAAACGTCTGCTAATCATTTTTTGACGCCGGGTCGACCTTACCGGTACGCGGTCACGCACATTTCCCAGGACACAAACTCAGGACTAAGTGGTCGGTATACGAGAGCACTATCAAATGAACAACCACTGCATGTGTCTGAATGTTACTGTTACAAATAAAATACGATGTTAATTTTTCAGGTGAGCTATGTCCAAGCCGTTGCAGCTTCCCAATATCCGGTCACAGCTGTTCGAGGGGAACGAGTCGCCGACCTCGTCTTCAACATTGCCGCCGCGTCCATCGCCATTATAATCAGCTTCGGCATTGGCGCTGTCACAGACACTGACAGTGTAAAGAGACAACTGAGGTATCCAGTTCCTCTGATCGTTGGGTTCTGCTGCCAGTTCATCGTCATGCCGCTGGTAAGGGGCTTTCATATTCCTTTGATACAGTTACAGTTGGAAAAACGGCTATCTCGGGGTTCAGCAAAACTGGCGATACACATCCGATGAATGACACGCAAAGATGAATGATCATCATTATGGTTTCCGTGTGGGTTCCAGGTCCCCACTGTAAGGAAAATAAGAACAGACCCACTGCTTGCCATCAAGCATGTTGTAAGAGTCGACTAACTGAGGGCTTCCTTCGAAGTCGGAGTGCATCTGCCTAAGAGGCAAGGAACCAACAGTCTTCATACAGTCAAATATGTAAAACGGGTGTGTACGAAACACTTAGGTTATAGGACAACACTTAAGTCCAGAGATGGACGAACAACCAGAACCTTCCGCCGAAGTTTACAGCCGGTGAACGTGAGGGATAAGAAGATGGCAGCGGTGGTGGTAGTTATAACGATGATTATGGTGGTTGTGATGGTAATGATGAAGAAAAAGAAGAGTATCTGCCGTGGCGTTAAACGTAGGCAGACGGTCACCGTTTGCCACATACACCAGGTCGGTGATCTCATCGCACCCCAAACCATGTGATCAAGCCATTCAGCGAGGTACTTGCTTCTTCCACTTTGCTCCTTTTCCATCAAATCTGCCAGTGTTCATAGAGATTATACTTCATCATAACGGGTCCAAAACATCCTTTATTCTCTCTCTCTCTCTCTCTCTCTCTCTCTCTCTCTCTCTCTCTCTCTCTCTCTCTCTCTCTCTCTCTCTCTCTCTCTCTCTCTCTCTCTCTCTCTCTCTCGCTGGACAAGAGGGCGGGCACCTAAAAGAGAAATTTTAGTCGAGCCCATCTCAAACACGTGAAGCTATGCGGGCGGCACGTACTCGAGGCTGTATGATCGATGCGGCATCTGTAGGTGGGTACACGGACGTGCATCACTGTGTGGATCAATACAGTCAAGGGCACTGTTAACCCATATGTCTGTCCTAAGCGATCCAACGGGCGCCAACTGCGGTTCATCGGCGATGTAGGTTAGGAGTTACAGAACCTTCAACTATTCCAGTCCTAATGTGTCACTGCACAATCTGCTAGTGTGTTTCCGGGCCATTCAATGGTGCTCTCTGTTCCATTAAACTGCTTCCCACTGTTCGAGACCTAGCATTACAGTTTCCTTGTGTATGTTTCGGGGCCTTTTGGGGGGGGGGGTGTACATTTACTGACCCTGACAAGTATGTCGTAAAAGGCTACTAAATGCTGGTTTGCTGAAAGTGTCGAGGACCAAAAGACGCTGATATCGCGGCCTAGCTTTAAACGACAATACAACGCGTCACCTACCATTTTCAGGAAAAACGCAAAAGAAAAAGCGTACAGTCTAGGGAATGCACAAGAAAACAGATATGGTCGCTACGAGGTCGGTCAGTCACTAAATACACATTGTGAAATTGAACGTTCATTTCTACGATTGCGCTGTCTGGCATGTAAACAAAAATAGTTTTTTGTTTAAAACAGAAAGGGAAAAAGGCACTTTCAGTAGAGATGAGAAAAAGAAAACGAAGAACACTTCATCAATAGAAGAGCCTGACCCGGCGACTACGGGATCCAGAGTGGGCCTCGCGTACGGCGGTCGCAGAGAGACATGTCTTCCAGTAGGGAATCACTGGATCGATATAGTTCTGTCATGGGCTCAAGGTTACATTCATTTGTTTAATCCACTTTCTAGACGGGCACGCAGAAGATATTACCAATTTTGAGGCCGACTGATAGGACACACTAAACAACATATTTTAAAACATTATTTACACACACAGGCGGCGCGCGCGAGACAGCGCGAGGGGGAGGGAGAGATAAAACGCATATTTCTAGACATACATAATACACGGCCAAGAAAGTAGACATAAGCGAGTAAAGGGCCCTTTCCAGCCTTCCGAGCATCGATCGTTTCGAGTGTGTGTGTGTTCTGTGTGTTGTGTCTCCACCTCCACCACTCGCGTTCACTAACATGCTACCATTGCCCAGCTGTGTGTATAACACGTGCCATCAGGCTTGTTTTAAAACTGTTGTGGCATTAATGTCCTCAAGCAACAATGTTGATCTCATCAATACATTTATTATTGTTAACTATGGTTATGCAGGTCGGCTCTGTGGCTAAGTCGATGCCAACGCTTCGTAATGCCGGGGTGCCGGGTTCGATCCCAGCTGCGGGCTATGCGCCTTGCGTTGGTTTCGACAGTGGTATAAGGGAGCCGATCGTTCAGCCAGCAATGGCAAATTACTGGACGTAAATTTACCTAGAGAAACCACACAACAGCCAGATGCTGCTGGGGTTGGTTCTGCAACGTCCTGTAAAGGATACGCAACTAAAGAAGAATGGTTATGCAGAGAGAAAACGCTTTCTATAGATGCAGAGGAATGAGGTCATGCCAAAAGCTAAGCATACATTGTTGATATTATTGGACGGCGATTTTCATCTCAATAATTTTTTTCTGAAAATGTAATCCAAAATGTTTCTGGGTTTTGTTGATCCTGAAGTATTAGTTTCCCTATATCTTTATTTTGTGTTCATGATGTTCTTTGACAAGACGAAAATTACACCAGCAATAGCATAACTGACGTCGGCCTTTCCTCGGTAACACTTACTGGATCCAGCATACGATACCAACATTCGCAATTTGGATGTAAAATTTCTAAAAAGCAGCAAAACATCGGTCGTGGTGCCAAGTGCTCGGTAAGGGTAGAATAGTACTAAATGTGTTCAAAAGTACCAAATTCGGCAGCCCTGCTTCCATTGTTCAGTTGAAAGATCATCTCCACGGCACAACGGACATGACCATAAGTGTACCGATTCTCCTCCTGAGTCTGTCCCCAAGTGTTTCCAGGCTAACAACTCTCCTGAGTTTGTTTCCAAGTGTTTCCAGGCTAACAACTCTCCTGAGTTTGTCTCCAAGTGTTTCCAGGCTAACAACTCTCCTGAGTTTGTCTCCAAGTGTTTCCAGGCTAACAACTCTCCTGAGTTTGTCTCCAAGTATTTCCAGGCGAACAACTCTCCTGAGTCTGTCCCCAAGTATTTCCAGGCTAACAACTCTCCTGAGTTTGTCTCCAAGTGTTTCCAGGCTAACAACTCTCCTGAGTTTGTCTCCAAGTGTTTCCAGGCTAACAACTCTCCTGAGTTTGTCTCCAAGTGTTTCCAGGCTAACAACTCTCCTGAGTTTGTCTCCAAGTATTTCTAGGCTAACAACTCTCCTGAGTTTGTCTCCAAGTATTTCCAGGCTAACAACTCTCCTGAGTCTGTCCCCAAGTATTTCCAGGCTAACAACTCTCCTGAGTTTGTCTCCAAGTATTTCTAGGCTAACAACTCTCCTGAGTTTGTCTCCAAGTATTTCCAGGCTAACAACTCTCCTGAGTTTGTCTCCAAGTGTTTCCAGGCTAACAACTCTCCTGAGTTTGTCTCCAAGTATTTCCAGGCTAACAACTCTCCTGAGTTTGTCTCCAAGTGTTTCCAGGCTAACAACTCTCCTGAGTCTGTCCCCAAGTATTTCTAGGCTAACAACTCTCCTGAGTCTGTCCCCAAGTATTTCTAGGCTAACAACTCTCCTGAGTTTGTCTCCAAGTATTTCCAGGCTAACAACTTTCCTGAGTTTGTCTCCAAGTATTTCTAGGCTAACAACTCTCCTGAGTCTGTCCCCAAGTATTTCTAGGCTAACAACTCTCCTGAGTTTGTCTCCAAGTATTTCCAGGCTAACAACTCTCCTGAGTTTGTCCCCAAGTATTTCTAGGCTAACAACTCTCCTGAGTCTGTCCCCAAGTATTTCTAGGCTAACAACTCTCCTGAGTTTGTCTCCAAGTATTTCTAGGCTAACAACTCTCCTGAGTTTGTCCCCAAGTATTTCTAGGCTAACAACTCTCCTGAGTCTGTCCCCAAGTATTTCTAGGCTAACAACTCTCCTGAGTTTGTCTCCAAGTATTTCTAGGCTAACAACTCTCCTGAGTCTGTCCCCAAGTATTTCTAGGCTAACAACTCTCCTGAGTCTGTCCCCAAGTATTTCTAGGCTAACAACTCTCCTGAGTTTGTCCCCAAGTATTTCTAGACTAACAACTCTCATGAGTTTGTCCCCAAGTATTTCTAGGCTAACAACTCTCCTGAGTTTGTCTCCAAGTATTTCTAGGCTAACAACTCTCCTGAGTTTGTCTCCAAGTATTTCTAGGCTAACAACTCTCCTGAGTTTGTCCCCAAGTATTTCTAGGCTAACAACTCTCCTGAGTCTGTCCCCAAGTATTTCTAGGCTAACAACTCTCCTGAGTTTGTCTCCAAGTATTTCTAGGCTAACAACTCTCCTGAGTCTGTCCCCAAGTATTTCTAGGCTAACAACTCTCCTGAGTCTGTCCCCAAGTATTTCTAGGCTAACAACTCTTATTCTGTTCTGGCTGTTTCTCCTCCTGAGTCTGTCTCCAAGTATTTCTAGGCTAACAACTCTTATTCTGTTCTGGCTGATGTAACGACAAGTGGTTCCTGCATGGTTTTCCTGTCTCGCAGCTCCAACTGGCCACAGCAGTTTACCGTAGCCACACACGGCCTACACAAGCAGCTCCTAAACTGATCCCTGCAAATTTAGAATGCAAATGTGCCCAGTCTTTAAAATCAAACATGTAATCACTGACGATTCACAATCTGACCTACCTCAATTAACAAAAGCAAAAATATCAAATTCTTCCTGCGAAATTTTCAAACATCATTATAAGCATCATATTCTTCTTCTTCTATCTGTAGGGTGTCAGTCATCAAGTCTGTGCACAAAACTTTAACGCACTTGCTAAATTTCTAATGACTTCTCATACAGAAGTCCCTAAATGCCACGATGATCATTCCCCCCCCCCCCAACCCCACAACTCTCTGACCCTACCATTTTCTAGCTGACATAGCGCGCCCCACTACTTTCCCTTCCCATGACATGCATCAGGAATGTAGATAAACTTCCACAGCGAGAAGCTATAAGGAAATACCACTGTGCTATTTTCTCTTCACTGTGATATCATCCGTCTATCCGCAGTGTTATCACTCTTCCGTCCGTGGTGTTATCACTCTACTCTCCGTAGTGTTATCACTCTTCTGTATGTGGTGTTATCACTCTTCTGTCCGTGGTGTTATCACTCTTCTCGCCTTAGTGTTAAAACTCTCCTGTATGTGGTGTTTTCACTCTTCTGTCCGTGGTGTTATCACTCTTCTGACCATGGTGTTATCGCTCTTCTCATCGTAGTGTTATCTCTCTTGTGTCCGTGGTGTTATCACTCTTCTTACCGTGGTGTTATCACTCTTCTAACCATGGTGTTATCACTCTTCTGACCATCGTGTTATCGCTCTTCTCATCGTAGTGTTATCTCTTTTGTGTCCGTGGTGTTATCACTCTTCTTACCGTGGTGTTATCACTCTTCTCATCGTAGTGTTATCTCTCTTGTGTCCGTGGTGTTATCACTCTTCTTACCGTGGTGTTATCACTCTTCTTACCATGGTGTTATCACTCTTCTGACCATCGTGTTATCGCTCTTCTCATCGTAGTGTTATCTCTTTTGTGTCCGTGGTGTTATCACTCTTCTTACCGTGGTGTTATCACTCTTCTTACCATGGTGTTATCACTCTTCTGACCATCGTGTTATCGCTCTTCTCATCGTAGTGTTATCTCTCTTGTGTCCGTGGTGTTATCACTCTTCTCACCGTGGTGTTATCACTCTTCTGACCATCGTGTTATCACTCTTCTTACCATGGTGTTATCACTCTTCTGACCGTAGTGTTATCACTCTTCTGACCGTGGTGTTATGACTCTTCTTACCGTGGTGTTATCACTCTTCTGACAGCAGTGTTATCACTCCTCTATTCTTAGTTTGATCAGTCTTTTGTCCGTGGTGTGGTAAGTCTTCTGTTCGTGCTGTTATCCCTCTTCGCTCCGTGGTGTCATCACTCTTCTGACCGTGGTGTTATCGCTCTTTTGTAAGTGGCATTATCACTCCTCTGTCTACGGTGTTACCACTTTTCTGTCCGTGCTGTTATCACTCTTCCATAAAACCACAACCCTGCAGCTTTCGCATCGTCTCTCACTTATCGATGTCGATCACATGAACCCTGTGAGCTTAAAAACATTCAAATTTGTGGGACTTTAATCCCGATCCACCTACCTGGCATACGATTCATCCAGCATGCAAATAGCTGTGTCACTTCCCTATCACACACATCCACAAATATACTCACACACACGTACTCTAACAGTGGGAACACATCAACCTTATTATTCCCAACTGTCGCCTAGTTTCCTGACACCTTCGTGCGCCACTGTGCACTGTTAAATTCGTCCGGAACCACTTCACTGCACCGGACTGTACATCATGCGGCTCGGTCTCTCTCCCAAAAAGGGCTCGCTGTCTGTTCAGAGTGTCGCATCAAGCACGAACACCGTAGCTCCGACGACTTTGCACAGGGATCTCCATAAAAAAGCACCCGTAAACCGAACCCACGGCCTTTAGAGTTTGAGACAAACAAACGGCTTGATCACTGTTTCATGGATACCCCTACTGTGTCCTCTACGAGTGCTCACCAAGACAGGTAAAAAATAAATGAATACTGTGTCTTGCTAACCCCCAAAAATGGCTGTTTACCGCTCTTCCTGTGTGCCAGTCCTGACCTGCGGGTGCCAGTCCTGACCTGCGGGTGCCAGTCCTGACCTGCAGGTGTCCGTCATCAGAAATAACAACAGCTTACGAAAGTCAAATCAGGGCCTCAGAAATGAGACATATCAGAAAGGTGGTCCAGGTGGTAAGAAGGGACAGAGTTTGCAAAGAGACAATACGTCATGATCTTCAAATCCAGGCCTTACATACTCGAGTGGATCAGTCAATTACGAGTGTTAGGGCATGTATGCAAAATGAGAGAATCGGCCACCAAAGCAAGCGTGGGAGGCTAAGAAACAAGGATCCAGACTTCCGAGACCACCTAGGATTCGCTGGGAAGACAACATCCGACAGTCCCTGACTGACAGAGGACTGGAATGAAGCAAAGCCACACACCAAAATGCTGGCAAACATCTACATCCCAGGATAGAAGAGAATCAACTAGGTAAGTAAGCTGCTTCTCCAATATTCCCTATTACAAGCCATATGTGTCCTAAAATGTTTGATGTGAATCAAATGGCACTACTGTCTGTACCCTATTTACAGATGGCGTTTGGCCTGGCCATGACCCTGCCGCTGGACAAGGACGTGGGGTTCGGTCTGCTGTGTGTGTCCTGTGTCCCTGGGGGTGGCTTCGGACACGTCGCTGTGGTCATTGCTGATGGAGACCCTGGACTTAGTCTGGCTATGAACCTTATCAGCGCTGTGGCTATGCTAGGTTTGTTCGTCTCCTTTTATTCGCAAGTCTGTTTTGTAAGCACGTGTCGAGTTCCTCCCACCCCCCCCCCCCCCCAGCACATGTCAAGCCCCCCCCCCCCATCCCCCAGCACATGTCGAGTTCCCCCCGGCACATGTCGAGTTTCCCCCCCCCCCCAGCACATGTCGAGTTTTCCCCCAGCACATGTCGAGTTTCCCCCCAGCACATGTCGAGTTTCCCACAGCACATGTCGAGTTTCCCCCAAGCAAATGTCGAGTTTCCCCCAAGCAAATGTCGAGTTTTCCCCAGCACATGCCGAGTTCCCCCCCCCCCCCTCCCCCAGCACATGTCGAGTTCTCCCCCCCCCCCCCAGCACATGTTACAGTTTCCATGCTGAAGTTCTATTTCCCCCAGCACATGTTACAGTTTCCATGCTGAAGTTCTATTTCCCCCAGCACATCTTACAGTTTCCATGCTGAAGTTCTATTTCCCCCAACACATGTTACAGTTTCCATGCTGAAGTTCTATTTCCCCCAGCACATGTTACAACTGCCATGTTGAAGTTGTATTCTCCCTAGCACATGTTATAGTTGCCATGTTGAAGTTGTATTCTCCCTAGCACATGTTATAGTTGCCATGTTGAAGTTGTATTCTCCCCAGCACATGTTATAGTTGCCATGTTGAAGTTGTATTTCCCCGAGCATATGTTAAAGCTGTGAGTACTTTTTCCAGAACATGTTAAAGTTGCCATGTTAAATCTGATTATTCTCCCTAAAACATGTTAAAGTTGTATTTCCCTCATCAAGTTTTGAAGCTGTATTTCCACCAGCACATTTTGAAAAGTATTTTCCCTAGTGTATGTTAAAGTTTGCACTTATTATTTCTCCCAGCACATGTTAAAGTTGTAGTGTCACACGTGTGTGATTGGGTAGTTTCACTGTGTTACACATGTGTGATTGGGTAGTTTCACTGTGTTACACATGTGTGATTGGGTAGTTTCACTGTGTTACACGTGTGTGATTGGGTAGTTCCACTGTGTCACACATGTGTGATTGGTAAGTTCCACTGTGTCACACATGTGTGATTGGTAAGTTCCACTGTGTCACACAAGTATGATTGGGTAGTTCTACTGTGTCACACATGTGTGATTGGGTAGTTCCATCGTGTCACACATGTGTGATTTGGTAGTTCCACATGTGTGATTGGGTAGTTCCACCGTGTCACACAAGTATGATTGGGCTATTTCTACTGTGTCACACATGTGTGATTGGGTAGTTTCACTGTGTTACACATGTGTGAGTGGGTAGTTTCACAGTGTTACACATGTGTGATTGGGTAGTTTTACTGTGTTACACATGTGTGATTGGGTAATTCCACTGTGTCACACATGTGTGATTGGTAAGTTCCACTGTGTCACACATGTGTTATTGGTAGTTTCCACTGTGTCACACAAGTATGATTGGGTAGTTCTACTGTGTCACACATGTGTGATTGGGTAGTTCCATACTGTCACACATGTGTGATTGGGTAGTTCCACTGTGTCACACATGTGTGATTGGGTAGTTCCATCGTGTCACACATGCGTGATTGGGAAGTTCCACTGTGTCACACATGTGTGATTGGGTAGTTCCACTGTGTCACACATGTGTGATTGGGTAGTTCCACTGTGTCACACATGTGTGATTGGGTAGTTCCACCGTGTCACACATGTGTGATTGGCAGTTCCACTGTGTCACACATGTGTGATTGGGTAGTTCCACTGTGTCACACATGTGTGATTGGTAAGTTCCACTGTGTCACACATGTGTGATTGGGTAGTTCCACTGTGTCACACATGTGTGATTGGGTAGTTCCACTGTGTCACACATGTGTGATTGGGTAGTTCCATCGTGTCACACATGCGTGATTGGGAAGTTCCACTGTGTCACACATGTGTGATTGGGTAGTTCCACTGTGTCACACATGTGTGATTGGGTAGTTCCACTGTGTCACACATGTGTGATTGGGTAGTTCCACCGTGTCACACATGTGTGATTGGCAGTTCCACTGTGTCACACATGTGTGATTGGGTAGTTCCACTGTGTCACACATGTGTGATTGGTAAGTTCCACTGTGTCACACGTCATTCACATAAACAGAGGCGGAAATCTTTAGGCCTTGAAATATTACGATTAGAAATACACTTCTTCTTCTTCCTCGAGTGTCTGATCTGGAGTCATCATGACGAACTACTATATTACAGTGTTATGTGATATTTTAATGAACTTTATGTAGCTAATGTCATTATGTCATTGCTATTACACATTCCATATATATCACTGTTCGCCTTCCTTTGCCTCCCTTGTCTATTCCCACATTCGACTAATGTCTTTTCTCCCCTTTTTCTGTGGATATCGCCACAATTACCAATGTGTCTTACGATTCGATAGTGTATGCACCTGTCAATACCTTGTACCATCAGTACTGGAACTCTGCGCTAGCTGTTGAAGACGAGGACGGAGCATGCATGGGGATGAGTACTGTGATGTCAATTCTTGACTAAACTCAACTATCAATACCTCTTCACTCCTTGCTGCTCTTCACACTCCCTAACAACTCCAGTGTCAACTCTTCCTTCACCACTTCCTTCACGATTTATTCCAGAGAGATATTATGAACGAATTATCAATGCAGTCTCCTCCCCCCCCCCCCCCCCCAATAATAACCGGACTAATTCGTATAACACATGCTTATTTAATGTCTAAATCGAGTGTATTGGCATTAAAATTTATGCTGCAGAAATTATATAAAGAATGTGTCAACATCGGAGAAAAAACACCAAACAGTGACAGCATAAGAAGGCATCTGTTTCTGGCAGCAATAGCTTGTGTTGTAATCGAATCACCCGGAAACGTATTCGTTACACGACGTCTGCCATTGTGTCGTTCTATTGCCACACCTAACACACAAAACGCAGCTGCGGACTTTCTGTTCAGAATTTCATTCAGCGGTTTTCCTATTCTGCAGTGCGGCCATAATGCCGAGGCGATACCTATGATAGACGATACGGTAGGTAGTGCGTCATATCAGAAAACTACTGTAAAGCGATAAATCAAAGCAATGGATGTTTGGGTGATAGGAATGTTTTCGAAAATCACATTCAAAGATTATCACCACTTTAAAACTGCGGCGCAACCCGCGTCATCTTTTGTTTTTAAATTAAGACATCTGCAAGCGTGTTGATAATGTCAGCTTTGTACTGTCACTGTCAACCTTGTACTGTCATTGTCAACCTTGTACTGTCACTGTCAACCTTGTACTGTCATTGTCAACCTTGTACTGTCATTGTCAACCTTGTACTGTCACTGTCAACCTTGTACTGTCATTGTCAACCTTGTACTGTCATTGTCAACCTTGTACTGTCATTGTCAACCTTGTACTGTCTTATTCTACTGTCTGTAAACTTCCTACTGCCTTATTATTATTCTTGCTCCCCCCCCCCCACCCCGACCACACACATTGATATACACACACACATACATACATGTATGTCTTTCTACCAATCTATACTGTATTATCCTCTCTCTCTCTCTCTCTCTCTCTCTCTCTCTCTCTCTCTCTCTCTCTCTCTCTCTCTCTCTCTCTCTCTCTCTTTCTTTCTTCAACTTGTTACTGTCTTATGCTCTCTGGTCTAGTTTCTGTAAAGTTGATACGGTTTAACTTTATCACTAAGTTCTTTATTCTTCTTCCGTGTGTTCACCAGCTGTAAACTCTGGAGGAAAGTTCTGATTGTTCATCCACTTTTGGACTGCAGTCCTGTTCCAGAACGTGTTTTGCGTGTGCATCCGTTTTACAGATCTGACTCATTTGCATGCAGACTGTTGGTTTCTTGCCTCTTAGGCTGATGCTTGCTCGTATACACGTTAAAGAGCACAGGCGAGATGGCGGATTCCTGTGGCAGTCCTGGGGTCAAACTGCCTGGTTCTGAGGTCCATGAGCCCAGTAGCACCAGGAGTTGGAAGGGTACTGACTTTTGCGGATGATATTCTTGCATATAGGCAGTGGGAAGAGAGGGAACAAACAGCCCGGGAGCTACAAGCGACAGTAGACAAAGTGACTCAGTGGTGTACAGCAGTGAGGGCTGTCGTCCACCCGGAAAAGGCGTCTGTTTTGTGGTGTTCTCTAGACAACAGGATCGTTAAAGCTAAAGTCCCAAGTTTCACGATAGATGGTAGAAACGTTAACAGATAGAGCAAACTGAAGTATCTGGGAATTACATTTGACAGGAGTCTCCTTTAAGGACTATGTGGAGAGTTGTGACAAGGTGCCAAAAAGGACTTAGTGCACTTAAGAGTATAGCTGCAATTGACATAGAGCAGAGAATGCTTTTCACACTATATCAGCACCTGATTCTGTCAGTGGTTGATTATGGTCTGGGGCTGCTTACCGTCTCAAAGAGTCAGATGGACAAACTAGAGCGCATACAGAACGCAGCTATGCAGGTCATTCTGGGTTGCACCAGAGACACCCCAGTGATGTGTAGGCGATACATCCTTGGTTTGCCAACTGTTGCATGTAGGCACAAGGTGCTGAAGGCGAAGTCATATCTCAGGGTAGCTGCAGACACAGACCACCCTTTGCACGAAGCTCTGGTGCAGTAAAGGGTCTGCAGCTGATAAGAGGGAAGTCATGGATTGCTCAGGCAGAAGACACAATTAGACAGGTTTGCATCCTCGAGAACATGAGAAGAGGAGTGGGTCAAAGTGCCACCTGAACAGTTAGACTTTTGTAGGGTCATAATCACACTGAGCCGGGAATGCAGAGACTGGTCAGTAGATGCCATGGAGATAGAAATTCAGCAATTAATTAAAGATAATGCTCGCTCGGGGAATTTGATAATTTACACAGACGGTTCAGTGTCAAGAGGCAAAAGAAGTCCTTGGGGCTTCTTAGCAAAAGTTAATGGTCGATTTTTGGTGCAGGAGAGCCTAGTATATGATACCACAACATCCAGCTGAAGAATGGAGGTGAAAGCGGTCACT